TGTGAGCAGCAGGATAATGCAGCCTGAGGAATTAGCCATCCACAGCATCAGCTCTCCTTACGGCCAGGAGAAAGAAGAATTAGGACAGGTGAAGCAGCACCAAACAGTGTGAAAGAAAAGGAAAATGACTGATGGAAGGTGACCAGGTGTGGGTGATTACAAAACGTGTGGCACCGGTATTGAACAATCCCGTCTGCCACGAGGCCGGTGAGTCAGGGCAGCGCGGGCACGGGGCTTATCACACGGGCAGGCTGGCTGCAGGGAGCAGCCCGCAGTCAGCCCAGAGCCACGTGCCTGCTGCGAGGTCACCAAGGGCAGCACAGAGACAGCAGCACCACGGCTCTTCCACCCTCTGCGCCGAGAGCAGGGCGCTGTGCAGCTGGGGAGAGAAATCCGGACACGTCCTGGAGCCCCCCGTGCTCAGAGACCAGCGGGTACCAAGCCTGAGCACTCCCGGAGCAAAGCCCAACTCCCCACCAAGTGTGCCAGCCCGCTTTTCATCCTGGCTTCCAGTGCCACACTGCCCACCTCCAAGAACTCTGGTGAAAAACGTGTTCCACTGATGACTCCAACCCACCCATAGACAAACCACAGAAACTAAGCTTGTTCTCTCATGGAAGGGAATGTCCTCTCCCAGTGGGGGCAGAGCTGCCTCCCGTTCTCCAGAAATGGCTTAGCTCCTCAAAAACCTAAAAAAAAAAAAATCAGCTCAATTCTAGCCTTTCTCCAGTTGTGCTTGTGCTGGTAGAAGGGCTGTGTTCTGCCAAGGATTAAAGCATCATGGATTTGGGTTACTCTCCACTAAAACAACTCCAGGTACCCCTTAAACAGGGTCTCACAACAGACAGCCAGTGAAACGTGCTCTGAGCTTTGTCCATCCACATATTACTGAAATTCAACTCAAACCTAAGCTGACAACCAGCCTGCAAGAAGCGAAGGCAGCACAGCAGGAAGATCACTGCACTTGGGAAGGAGATGTGCTCTCCCACGAATGTCAATCCCATTTCAAGAGAAAGATGGACATGAAAGTGACTCCCATCTCCCAGTGAAACACTCCATGAGAGCAGGTACATGGTGCTCCATGCCCCAGCTGCGTCTCCAGTCACATGGAGCTGATGGAAGGGATGGAACCAGGACAGCAGAGAGCTCTCAGCAGTGCCCAGCGACCACAGCGTCCCTCTCTGTCCTCCTCAGCCCCAAGAGCTCCTGAAGGCTCAAACACAACACCCAAAGGGCATGGGAACATAAGGTATGCGTTCTTTGGCACACTCATGAATATTCCCCGACCAGCCCTTATGAAAAAATGTGGCATTAAAAACAACCCCACCGCCTGAACAGAGCTGGAATTTTAATTAAGTCACTTGGATGATTTAGAAATGGAAATTCTGTGGAAAACAATTCATTCAGCAGGTCACTCTGAAGATTTTTAGCACAGAAACAAGGGTTTCTTATAAAAGATGAGAAGAGACAAAAGGAATGGGGACAGAAGGAGGGATGCAGCAAGATGTCCCGCAGGTGCCCAATTCACCCCGGTCAGAGCAGTGGCTCCAGCTCCTGCCCAGCCATCAGAGCAGCCCTGACAGAGCACAAGAGTCCAACTTTGCATGGGCAGGGACTGAATGCAAATTGCTGCCTTGGTTAATACGTAAATTGCAGACTGTTCCCTTCTATTCCATTGGCTCCAGCGGAGACAATTATGAATACAGGCCTCCTGCCCTTTGGGATGATTAACATTCCCCTTCCTCAGTGTCCCCAGCACTGCTGACCCACATTCAGCTCCTGAAATGCAGTTCTATGTAAACTGCAACGTTCGGTGTCAGCAGAACGTGCCATCCCAGCAGGGCCGGGCACTCTGCTCCTCTCTCTGAATAAATGCAGTGCTCAACTTCCCAAGGGCCAGGAAAGTCTCGGTCCTTCAAGAGCAGACCAGGCAGCCAACTACCATCCTCTTCTCTCTTTAGGGAAGAGGGGACACAGGCCAGGAATGCTCCGGCTGTTATCTCAAGCTATCATGTCAAAGTCCACTTGACCTGGTAAACGTCCATCGGAAAGGAAAACAGGACCCAACACCCATCCACAGACCACCTCTAATTCCTGGCTCAGCAATGGACACCAGCCCACACCGTCACTAACTTCACCTTCTGGAAAAGGTCCAAAATCATGGGGTACATCTATTTCCAAGCTCACACAGACGCTCACAGTGGAATTCCGTCTGAGACGGTGGAGGAAAGCGGTTCCCAAGGAGGGGCTGTGACGAGCAAACCCGCTTTTCTCTAAGAGAATGTGACACGGGGTCAAGTTTGTGCAGGGATTTGGTGGCTATATTTGAACTGCCCGGTTCTCTTACGCAGCTACTACTGGGAGAGCAGGATCACCTCAGGAAGGGGCTGCCAGCACAGGCAGCAACCGGGCTGCGCTTGCGTTTCGTGATCAAAGAATTCTTTCAGATCCCTAAATGGGACCATTTTGCCAAGGTTTATTCGCTTCCAAGTTGTTTCCATTAAGTCAAAGTGTTAAAAGTGTAACAGTGAATGAAGACAAGCTCGCAGTAGCATTATTTTGTATTTCTGCTGCCAGTCAAAAATGCTTCCCCATAAGGATTTGCCCTTTCCAATGCATTTACATCAACACCTCCCCACTAATCTCATGAGCCCCAGAGCCTGAACCAAGCAGCTCCTTCTCCTTCCCCACTCCTCTCCCAGAGCCAACAGCAACAGTTCTGTCAGTGAAGGAAAAGTACTGAACCCACAGCGCTCAGGGTCTGCAAGCTGAATCCAATCCATTCACTCGCACTCCTCTCCAGAGGCTGGGATTTGAAAGGAAACCTGACTTCAAAGTTGAGAAAGCTTCCAGGTCAAGTTTCAGCTCCAAGCTATCCCAGCTCAGCTGAACAGATGGCAGTTGCTCCAGCACAGGTATTTCCCCAGGCTCAGGGAGCCCCCAGAGTTCAGAGGGACAGGGACTGGATCTCCTCTGTGCAGGGAACGTGCTGCAGGTCAAACCCGCTGCTCCAGAGCCCCAGCACCTCACCACCCCACCAGAAAGTCACTTCCTGAACTCCACAACCCACCCTCGGTCACTCCAGGGCAGTAGGAATGAGCGTACACTGCTGGAAAGCAAAGCTTTCCAAGCTTAGTATCCCCTTCCATCACCCAAAGCCAATGTGCAAAATCCAGCCTTGGCCCTGTAAACTCGGAACACAATTTCCAGACAAAATTTGTGTGTGTATTCTGCCATTCTTCGGACAAAATCAACTATTCCTACACAAAAGATGGTCTCTGCTTCGGTATTTTGCAAACTTCAGAGTCAGCACCACTGAGAAGAAACCTTGACCCAAGGAGGCAGTCTGGAAACAGGAACAGGAAAGCAACTTGGAGCTGGATCCCTCCTTTTCCAGAAGTGATCTCCAGTCAGAGGGGTCAGTGCCCTGCACTCGAAGCACCCGAACCCATCAGCCTGTTACTCTCAGCAAGGTTCAGGCTCATCATGGAGAGAACTACAGCACAGAACACCTCAAGTGCAGGTTAAATTGTGGCATTGAACACTTGCAGGCACAAAATAGCCGTCAGGGCAGGCAAATACAGCCCAGCTCTGAAAAGAACTGTCCAGGAGGTGTTATAACTGATGTTTAAATAGCCCCTGAAATTAATTTCACTTTATTAACTGGGCAAAGAGCCAGAGCTCCAACAAACCAAGGCGATGGCGGATTTCTCCTCCTGTTTCAAAACAATCTGCTGCAGAAAGTGACAGAGGGATAACCCCAGGAACTGACAGAGGGGCAACCCCTAAAAGTGACAGAGGGGCAATCCC